TGGCGCAATTTGTTCTAAAAATAGAAAAATTGTCCCATATCATAGGTGCGCGCGGATCCCAAGACTTACGGTCTCCGTTCCCGATTATGGCTCCTGGTTAAAAATGTATTTCTAGTATTGCCTTGGTCTGTCAACGCAAAAAAGAAATTATAAATTTGAAACTTCCGAACGTTTGAAACCCTCTTTAGTGAATGTATGAAACAGGAATTTTCTCATTTTAAGTTAATGGTCAGTTCTGCTTGCGGTTATTCCAAGTGGAATAAGTCTGCGGCCTCGCAGACTGGTTAACGGGGCCACACGACACGCGCGTGGACGCGCGCGGCGTCAGTTAGGGAATGAAGCGCATATATTTTAGTTACAATTATTAATAATACTTCAGGCTTCAGAATGGTAATGGCATGACCTGTTCTTGTATGATATATATATTATGGCATCTGGAGACTCTCGGCCGGTTTGAAGCGATTTCAAGTCGGGACAATCTCAGTCAGTCGCAAAACTAGTAACTTCGTGATGATGGTTGCCTGTGGTATTTAGCCAGTTGATCTCTGACCATCAGAAACCGTAACTGAGCTGAACAAAACATGGCTTTAATCAGTTCTGAGCAACAACAAATACTGTGATTGTAGCAGGCACGTAATCGTTTACCGGACAAGCGGCGGTCACCTTTCATTTTTACCCTACCGGCTATGGCTTGTCGTCTTTTAGATTTTACACCCGTTGCTTTGTATGTCATGAAATATCGAGTACAATCAACGTATCGGCCAGTCTGAAATGTTTGCAACGAAATGATTCGATATATTGCGGGTAAAATCTTAAACTGTGAAAGTTTTTTAGAAGCCCCATTTTTGAGAGTTCCGTTGGTGTAAAGGATGGATTAAATTACGACAAAAGAAACATCTCTCTTGACTACAATTGAACTTCTCTAGTTCGAAATAACCAGGTCATCGTAAATTACAATCAATACTAATTTTAATTAAAATATTAAAATTTGTAATCAATGTGATGGAATGTATTTTTTAAATATATATATTCGTTTAATATAAGGCAAGCTCCGCGAGCTGGCAAGAAGAACCATATCCTGCACTGTGACTGGCTACCTGAGTGGGCAAGTAAGCGCTATCTTCCCTTTTGTATCTCGGAAGAGAGTTTGTTCATGCCGCCATATAATAAATCCTTTCAGTTATTGATCGATCAAGCTTGTTCGGTCAAGATGGCTGGATATTAGCCTCGCTCTTTTTTGGGTGTTTATGGACCTCGGCCTCGTACCGATCCTTAAACGCGCAAAAATAGAACTTGGTCAATATACAACCATCTTGACCTCGCGCTTGGTCAATAACCATTACTTATTGTCGGAAGGGTGGAAAAAGAAAACCCGAGCACGAAGTTCATTACAGCACCGTGAGATTAAAGTACAACGGAAAACGCCAAATTGTAGTTTTCCAGCTATGATCTAAAGTCTGACTTCATGATGATGTTAAATTTTTAGCTCGATCTAGTTACCAATAGAGTTCGAAATAAACTGGGTTGATTTTAGGCCTAGGCAAACAGAAATCAGTTTGAAATAGTGAGGAGAGTCGAAATAGCCGATAATAAAACATGACTGAGACGGAAAGGGCAAATCCAAGGGAAAAAGGTTTGAGTTTGAAGTAAGCTGGGGGAATTCGAAATAACCGAGTTCGAATTTTCCGGGTCCAACTGAACAAAACAAAACGTCCCTTGATTCGAAACGTGTGACATATGTGGGGATTATTTCGGATAATGGTGCATGTCGCAAAAGCCAAACAAACACAATAGACGGGTTCGGTTTTTTTTTTTTTTTTGATGAGCCGGTACGCTAAAAGGAACGGGCTTCGAACTTGCATTATCAGGATGTACCTGTATCTACACGTTCCTACGACAGACATATCTGAAAGGTCAAGTTTACTTGTAGACTTCCTAAAAGTAATTTCCAACAATTCTTCCCTGGCTTGTTTGTTGCGCCACTAACGTCGTTCAAGCTCGCGACTTCGTCGAAAGATTCAGGATTGAGAAAAGGTCGAGTTTACTTACAACTTGTAACACAACTAGGTCTGAATTCAGCCGTCTTCCAAAATTAAGGCTTCAACACAAAGTTATCTTCGGCGAAATGAAACGAAAAATTCATCTGCCCTCCCCATGTTACCGGAAACGGGACACTGTGGAAACTGAACAAGATTTGCATCCAGTAGCGAGAGCTATCCTGGCGCTAAATGGCTTCCAAACACATAAATCTACATTAATGTATTGTGCATTTTTATTTAAAATTAACTTGACAACTTTTTTCAACTTTTCTCTTGATATAAAACATATTTTGTAAATATAGTTGCAGTATAATATTAACGTACGCATGGTTTTAAATAGCTTGGACAACATTGAACGTAATGCGAAAACTCAACTGAAAGTGAACCGAAGTTGTGCGTTTTGGAGAATGCGAGGAGTTTTTCAGTAGAATGCGTGACGAGTGTGTGTGACGAACGAGAAACGCGAGAACACGCGTGATAACGGAAAAGAAAAAAAAAACGGTCTCTCCTCAGTGACCTGCCCTTTGGGTAACATTGTAGTTACCAGTTTATAGACTTAACACGTTCCATCTTTGCCTTCTGAAATTTGTACAATAAACTGATCTGTAAAGAAATCATGTGGTGATAGCCATAACGATAATAAAATCAACTTCGTCAAAAAGAGAACTGTTTGAAAAAATAACCTTGAAAGAATGTTAGTTTCTGTTTACGTCTGGACCAAAATATTTCTCAGAGTGAACTTCACTCCTTGTCTCAAATGGATTTAAAGCAACAAGCTAAAAGAACGAACGATATTCCCCTAAAAAAAATTAAATACTAAACAACACCGAGAATAAAATTCATATGAACAAGCCCAGGTACAAATAGATAGTCAACTTATTAATAAATATTTTATAAAAGTTACGATTCCTTCTGAGTAAAACGCAATGGTTAGATATGCCCTAAACTAACTCAAGATTTCTGTGTCCCTTCTCAAACAGCCACAGTTTTTCTCTACGTCGGTTTAACCTTATTTCACTGAGTCAGTGCCAAAGTGTTACAGCAGCGAAATACAGGTTAAATTTCGGACGTTATTTAATGGGAGCAGTACCATTTTGGCCGCTACTGACAATAGCGAGTATTAATTTAGCCATTTTTTCAATTTATCTAGATTTAGGTGATCTACACTGCATATGCAGTGACTTAAAAGTGGTTTTCACTAGCACTTAAGCACTAGTATTAACAACATACCCAGACGCATTAAGGTATTGCTAAGTAACGTCTTTTGTCAGGAAATTGTTCTAACAAAAGGTACTGAATACCAACACCTGACTATGTCGGTTTAAGCTTATGCCCTGGTGAAAACCCACCATTAGTAGTCACTAAAAATGGCGGTCTAAGGCGTCAATTGAGAAGCAACTTAAGCAACTAAATTTAGAATTCAAAGCCTACAGCTGGTTGAGAAAGGAGACAGAAAATATTGAAAAAATAAACATTGTCTGAGACGTTAAGTATTTAAATACATAAAAGCAGTTTTCCTGAATAAAACACAGAGCAATGATTGTGGTATGTTTCAATTATAAAGTAACACTCCTCCATAAATATCAGAGCCTTGGATATACTCTTGGTATATCGTAAGAAATTTTCCCCTTTACCCATCAAAGCGTAGCATGATTTTGCACAAAATATCGCACGCGTTACGAAAATAATGCGCGCGAAATGTCGCGCGCGTGTACCAAGGTATCTTGCGTGCAGAGTGCAGATACGTTAATCATTTTCTTTCAGGGAAAGGAAAAGACTCCTTATAGAAAAAAAAACCTATCTAAACCATGTCCACCTCTCTCGTCACCTCATCCAGATCGATGTCGTCTAAACAGAGGCTCATTCGCTTCCAATAATTCTGTATCTCCAGCAATTCTTGGGCTGAAGTTTGAAGCGGGTCTATGTTGCCCCTTCCGCCATTGGCATAACTTTTCCTGCGCGAGGGCGCGTGTTTCGCATTTGTTCTATTGCCAGGTCGCGGCTTTTTAGGTCTGTGAGTACTGCTCACTGATCGCTGAACGAAAGAACTCTCGCGAGAATCTCTCCTCGAAAGATCGCTTTCTTGATCTGTGCTGGTGCTTGCGCGCGGAATACTCGAATCGGGCGAAGTCCTTTTGGAGACCTGTTGCGCGGCAATGGGTCGCGTGCCTTTCTTGTACAATTGCGAAGGCGATGATAAAGTTTGCGAGCGTTTATTCTTGGTTGATCTTGACGAATAAAGGTGGTGAACGTGTTGAAGCGGCCGGCCAGTTGATTCTGCCGGTAAAGTACTTAGCGGCGTATCAGCCGCTGCATTAACTTGTGAATCTGTTCTTGCGGGTTCTCCGCCAGACAATGTTTTATCCTCCGAATCCAAATTCGTACTTTTTTCACTAGCGCCCTGCGGCGAAACAGTCTTCTCAGGTGCTATATCGTCCGAGATAACTATAGATCCATTGCTAGCACGAGTCGCATCTGAATTTCGCTGGATCTTTGAAACTTTCTTACGCCTCAATGAAACTTCAGAATAAACCGAACCATTTGTCACTGGCGGTACCACACCGACACCATTTACAACAACCGACACGCTGTCTCTTCTTTGACCGTCTTGGAACTCTACGCTTTTCACAACACCGTTCTTTGCTTTAGGATTGAAAGGCGGAGAAAGATGGTCAGAATATTGTTCAGGAACATGCTCCGATGATTGCTGCAATGACAAAGCGCTCAGTCGATTCTTTTGAGCTTCCGCGACATGAGATGGTACTTCAGTTTCGCTTAAAATTCGACTGATTCGATTTCTGTTAGCATTATTTCCGGAACTAGGGGTGCCGACAAGCGAAAAACTTTGCCTTCCACAGCAGATCGCGTCCAAGATCGCAGCTTTTAGTTTGCGGTTTAGAATCGCGTAGATAAGGACATTGTAAATCACGCACGACTTGGCAACGAGTACAGTGATGTGTGACACAATCGGGTCAATGTAGACATTTGCTGCCTTGACCAAGGAAACGACGACATACGGAACCCATACAATCATGGAGAAAAATATGACAACAATGATCATTTTGGCCGTCTGTATGTGCGTTCTTTTTAACAAAGGATATTTCTTCTTGACAGAAGACGTCGTGGTAAGTGTTCTTCCGATTGTTCGTTGTGTGCTTCGACGAACGGCGATGAAAATTCTTGCGTAGCAATAAATCATTATTGTAAGTGGAACCATGAATAAAAAAGCCGGTGCAATCACTGAATAAACTATTGAAGACGTTCTTTGATCGCCGTAATTGATATAACAACCACTGTAGAAGATTTTTTCCTCCACAAAAGAGTTCCATCCGACGCATGGAGGAAACGTAAACAAAAGAGTGTACAGATAGATTATCAGTAATATTCCAATCGCCTTTTTTCTCGTAATTACTTGAGCCGCTCTGGTTTGGCTTGGCCGAGTGATGAAAAAGAAACGATCCACAGAAATGGCAGCCAGCGTCGAAACAGTACAGCAGATGAAGAAATAGTGGAAAAATCCGTACGAAACACAACCGGCTTGGCCGAACAACCATTCGCCATAGAGCGTAGATGCTACGGAAAAAGTGTTGTCTAAAATCGATAGCATCAAATCGCAGAATGCAAGGTTAAAAATAAACAGATTAGCAGCCGTTCTCAGCTTCGGATATTTCCAGAATACAAAAATGACCAGAGAATTTGCAATGATTCCACAAACTCCGACTGCACACAGGTACACAACCGAAGCCACTCTGGCACTTCCATATTTGTCTTCGAGCGAAGAACCGTTAGAGCTTCCACCATTTGTACTCATATTTTGTTAGCGGTGAAATCTTGTCTCCCTCGTCCTGACGCAGTCTTGATATTAGTTACCATTTAGGTTCAAACTCCAGAAGGTCAATTTCTTTGTATCCAGAAAACTCGCGGACGAAAAATTTTTGGATCCCGTGGAGAATATGTTGTCCGGCCAGTATTCTGTGTGTAAATGGAAGGACCCAATGTTGACCAATCGCGTTAAACAGTTCTTTGAAACTATTAGCATAAGAGATGATTGAGTTTTGTAGAAGCCTTTGTAAACTTTGCACTATTGTTATAAAGTTTGTTGTTTGCCCGTGTGATTCGGCTTGTTTGCTTTGCTTCTGAGATGTTCTACACATGACTGTCTGAAAAAAGTCCTGGGGCGAAATGGGTTGCCGTGGTGATGTCACTGAAGTATTGACCCATTCTCTCAAAAGTTTACAATTTTCTTGTTGAAATTGTTCAAGATCTTGTAAAATTTGCTGACCTCTTGAGTACAGGAAGACGAATATTATTGAGTGTATGCAAATATACCTGTCATCAAATGCACTCTATACACTTATTGTCGTGCTGAATGACGAAATCTAAAACCTTAAACGGTTTCAGATGAGATCAGATATTAGATGAGAAGTTGTTTTAATATAAAAACGGCGGATATAGCACAAAACACGAATTCTCAAGCCGCCGTTAATTATATTAAGCTTGGGAAAAAAATAACACAGAAACGTAATTAAGTTACAGAGTAACGAGACCGAAACGAGAACACATGATATGCCATGAGTGACTCAAACGTGGCTTCAAACACATTTCAGCTGAGCTGGTTCACGTCGTTGTTTACGGAAAACACCGTGCTGCAATAATGCGGATAAGTGATTTAGAAGTCAGGAGGTTACATGTTGACATATAAAGTGGCCCAGACAGGCCATGCTCTTTATTTGTCAAAACATCTAGTTTATACGCGCTAGCCATCTTGAGGGAAGCGAAAAATAGTTCAGAACAGCAAGGGGTCGAGATGGCCGACAGAAAACGACTTGAAAAGAATATCTGGGAGAAAATGATTTGAGTTCGAGATAACGTAGAGGTCGTTTTGACACTTTACATAGCTTCTCTGCGTTAGATAAACATTTTTCTTCACCGGAGATGTATGTACAAATGTTTCCAATCGTGCTTTTAAGATAAAGAGATAAGATGTAGCTTACATTAGAAACTATCCTTACTTAGATTTTCGCGTGCAAATCTTTGCTATATCCAAGTTTTTGATACACTTTTTTAATTGTTACTTGTTCTATAACGGTTTCTATCTATATCCTTGTTATGTCTACAGGTAGCGCCAATGATTTCTCTGTTTTCTTACGTTTATATAAGCTGACGCACAGCTTTTATAATTTTACGGCTAAAGGATGTTTTGTAAATAAATATTTATGTGTGCTGAACAGGATTCAAGACAGTCTCTTTCAATATTTTATCCTTCGTTTCTCTCTAGCGTGAGATCATTGATCTGACAAAAAGCGGAAAGCGTTCAAAATGCCTTAGGGTTGACACATCACTTTTACGTGCTTGCTCTTAAGCTGCTTTTACACGCGTAAAGAACAAGAACAAAGAGATTATACAGGCGTCCATACATTATCGAGGTGTGTATTTTTTTACGCACGTAAAGCCAGTGATAGTCACTTTCATACGCACGTAGAGTAAAAAAGATTTCGTTTCCTCGAGAAACCCATCGAAGTAGTTAACATTGCGCGCGCGCATCGCGACATCCGCGTCTCGTACGCAAAAAAGTTGCGAAGAAAGACCCGCCACTTGTCACTTTTAAAATTAAAACCCCGCTGTGTAACACTCCTTTTACTAACTTTACGTCTTAAATGGTGGTACTGTTACGTTGTGCTTTGTTTTGAACGAACGAACTCATCAACCTATTTTATGGCTCGTTTTGTTTCTTTGTCGAAATGAAAGTCAGTGGCGCATTTTTTGACGACTCGTTTGTTTTATGCCTATCAGCATTTGGGAACATTTTCTTGAAATTTTTTTCCTTTCAACAACGTTTTTTTGCCGTCAAATCGGGACATTCCTACCTCTAAAATGAGTCTCTTCCACCGTGACTTTCACTTGAAAATCAACTTGTAACAAGAAGGTTTGTATATCGTATATGCCCTTCTTTGGAAAGCGTATTGACAGTTGCTGTTTTACTTATTTTCTAAAATGTAAACTGATCCCGTAGCTCTTTATCTTTACAATTCAGGTAAAACTGCGGATTAGGTAACAAAAATCTCCTTCTAACAGCCCTCTGATAATCTCGAAGTTCCTAATGTATACAGTGCGGTCTTGAATCCTACGTCGCTTCATTTTGTGTTAATGGATGTGCTTCAGTTTCACCGGCTTTACATGCACCTTCTCTGCTAGCAGAGGGGGTGAGGCTCTTTTCCTGGTGTTCAGTGACGTGAGAACACCAGGAAAAGAGCCTCTGCAAGCAAGGAAACGTGCACTGAGCAGAAGATAGAAACTGAAGAATGATGTTTGGACAATTAACTTCGGTCTTAAGCTTGTGGTTCAACGTTTTCCAGACGCATATACTTGCTATACGTCAGGATGAACCCGTACACACGCGCAGCGTATAAACCTATTTCAGTAATTTCCAATCTGCAGGACAAAACGATGGTTGTTCTCTCCCCTGAGAGAAACAAACCTTTCAGATACAAAACAATCTTATTGTTTTGTCCTCCAGATTGGGGACGTGGCGGACAATTTGCCCAAAGTGCCCAAAGTGCCCAAAGTGCCCAATTTGCTCAAAGTGCAATACCGCTTAGACCTTAACGCGCGCACCGCATTGCCGCTTTTAAGCTCCCTATACTAGATTTAGATTTATATATATTGTATAATTTTGTCTCTTAATTATATCTAAGGGGCGGGTAAGCTGTAATTGGCTAAGCTGTAGCGGCTCCCCTGGCCATTTTCTTTTGTTTTGCTGTCTAGTTTTTTTTTTTTTTTTTTTTTTGTCTTTCTGTTTTGTTTTGTTTTGTTTGTTTTTTTGCTTCCTCTTCTTTTTCTTTTTCTTTATATGTACGTTTCCTCTAATTCATTGCTGATTCATGATAGCAGAAAAAAAAATCCTAGATTGCAGCATGTTTTATTAATTTTTTTTTTTTTAGTTTTTCCAAGCTTTTCGGCTGTTTCTTAATTCTTCTCCCTCGCCACAAGGATCAGCCTTCCGTTTATCGCTTTCTAAGGTTACCACTCATCTGTTTACTCTTAACTTGGCTCGACCAATTAATAAATCTGTCAGAAAATGAAGGAGACTTAAAGTTTTAGCTGGCCGGGGCTTAACTATTTTCTTAAGGGCTTATCCTTTTTTGATTGAGGGTAAAAGACAACCTTTTACCTTTCTTCAGGTAAAATCGTCTTGGGGCGGTAAGTTGGCCGACATTGCTTAGACATATAAAGATTACTCCAAGCTTTAAAGTCGGCTTTAACATAAGTTTAAATTCTCCATCTCTCAGGTTATTACCCTGGTTAGCCTTTTGGGAGCTTTTAAGACCATCGGGCAGATTGGCCGCAAATCGGGACTTCTCTTTCTGTCGACGGCTTTGATCGGTGTGTACCCTCCGCGAGGGAATACCAGGATGGAGAAAATATGATTCAATTTCAGGGCTATGTGAAAGAGTTGTGATTCAAAGGACTTTCCAAGATTTTCTCTTCTTCCACTATTTATTTCAAATTTAATATCGAGGACCCCCGGGGGAACTATCATATAAAAACGAAGGGGGTGCTCTTCGGAAATTTTGAGAAGAAGTTCTCCTAAGAGATGGGCCATTAGAAAAGTGATGGGGGTGGGGGTGGGACTTTTTCAGCTTGCAAGATTTTTTTTCCTCGCCCACTGCCTCTGCAAGATTTAGTTTTGGTGGTGGTGGGGG